ATGAAATGATGGCTGGAATAATGGATGGAAGGATGGCTAGAAGGATGGATGAAATGATGGATGGAATAATCGATGGAAGAATGGATGAAATGATGGCTGGAATAATGGATGGAAGGATGGCTAGAAGGATGGATGAAATGATGGATGGAATAATGGGTGGAAGGATGGCTAGAAGGATGGATGAAATGATGGCTGGAATAATTGATGGAAGGGTGGCTAGAAGGATGGATGAAATGATGGCTGGAATAATAGATGGACGGTTGCCTGGAAGTAGGAAAGGAGGAATGGATGGGAGCATGGATTAAATGATGTCTGAAATGATGGAAGGAAGCATGGATGGAATGATGATTGGGATAATAAATGGATGGTTGTTTGGAAGTGTGAATGAAGGAATGGATGGAAGCATGAATGGAATGATGGCTGAAATAATGGATGTAAATTTGTCTAGCGGTATAAATGAATGAATGGATGGTAGCATAAATGGAATGATTGCTGGAATAATGGATGGAAGACTGCCGGTAAGTAAATATGTAGGAATAAATGGAAACATGAATGGAATGATGGCTGGAAGTATGAATAAAGGAATGGATGTTAGCATGAATGAATAATAGTTGAAATAATGGATGGAATGTTGTCTGGAAGTATGAATGAAGGCTGGAATAATGCATTGAATGTTGTCTGGTAGTTTGAATTAAAAAATGAATGGAAGCATGGATGAAATGATGTCCGTACTAATAGGTGGAAGGTTGCAAAGGAGTATGGATGAATGATTGGATGTGAGGATGGATGGATAATGTCTGTATTAATGGATGTAAGGTTGTCTGGTAAGTATGACTGTAGGAATGGAAAGATGCATGAATGGATTGATGGCTGTAATAATGGATGGAGGGCTGCAAGGAAGTATGAATGAAGGAATGGATGGAAGCATGGATGGAATGATGTCTGGAAAAGTGGATAGAAGATTGCCTGGGAGTATGAATTCAGTTATGGATAGAAGCATGGATGGTAATGGGTGAAATATAGACTGCATGTTTGAATTAAGGAATGTATGGAAGGTTGCAATGAAGTATGATAGGAGGATTGGATGTGATCAGGGATGGATGATTTCGGGATTAATGGATGGAAGTTTGCCTAAACGTATGAATGAAGGGATAAATGGAATGATGACTGGATTAATGGATGGACGGTTGCCCGGTATGTATGAATGGAGGAATGGATGGAGGCATGCATGTAAGGGTGTCTGCAATATTGGATTAGAGCATGGATGAAATAACGTCTTGAATATTGGATCGAGCCATATACGGAATGATGGCTGGAATAATGGAATGGAAGCTTGCCTCGAAGTAAGAATGGACGAATGGAAGGAAGCATGGAGGGAATGATTGCAGGAAAAATGGATGGAAGGATGTCTGGACTGATGAATCGAACGGCGGATCGAATCATATATGGAAACATCAATGCAAACATGGCTGAACGTATGAATCGAAAGATAAATGGAGGCATGCTTGCAATGATGGCTGG